TGAGTAAGACAGTTCTTGCCATCAAGGAACTAAATGTATTGAGAAGGAAATGAACAAATCACTGCAGAACAGAAAGATGTCTGAAAGCAAGTAAAGAATAAGACACTATGGAAACACAAATGACTGATGAGATAACAGAACTTGGAAAAAAAAATTGAAAGCTTCTGATATGTAAGTAGGCCTCCAAAGTAATAAATAGAATATTAGCAAGACCAGTGAGGGAGAACATTTTATGCAGAGAACATGGAATATATAAAAAGCACAAAAGCACAAACGTGCCTGGCATATTTGGATACAAGTTAGCTGGGAATGACCCCTGGGTTGGGAAGACCCCTGAAGAAGGGCATGGCAACCCACTCCAGTAGTCTTCCCTGGAGAATCCCCAGGGACAGAGGAGCCTGGGGGCGGGTGGGCGCGGAGGCTGCAGCCCATGGGGTCGCAGAGTCAGACATGACTAGGCGACTCAGCACAGCGCGGCTGTGAATGACTAAATCATAACTGACATGTATGAACTAAAGTCTCCACAGTTAACTATATCAATATCTGGCAAAAGCTTAGAAGCAGAATACTTTCATAAAATAACTCACATTGCAGAAATTGTTTAAAAAAAGAAAAAAAAAATGAACTCTAACTAATGAATTTGCTAATCCCTCTTAGGGCTTCCCAGGTGGTGCTAGTAGTAAAGAACCCACCTGCCAATGCAGGAGACATAAGAGACGCAAGTTCAATCCCTGGGTCAGGAAGATCCCCTGGAGGAGGGCATGGCAACCCCCTCCAGTATTCTTGCCTGGAGAATCCCCTGGACAGAGGAGCCTGGGGGACTACAGTCCACGGGGTCGCAAAGGGTTGGACACGAATGAAGCAAACTGGCACACACTCAATCCCTCTTAACAGATAACACAGGTTCAATTTTAGCTATAACATATACATGGAAAACTTAGCTATAATACACATATGAAATATTACTCTACAATTGTATCTTAACTATCTTTCAATAAGGATAAAAAGTCAACACAAAATCTACTATATAATTTATAAATAAGGCACAACATTCCTTCTTTATATTTTATAAAGTGTTTACTTTGCTAAAATGTGCAGACAGACTGGAAGAAGAAAAGTCTAGAAGCGGAAAGAACAGTTAGGAAGCTGTTGCAAGACTTCAGGTAAGAAACGTATGTGACAGTGGTTTGAACTATAGTAGTAGCAAGAGAAGCAGGCTGATTTAGGAGATACTGAGAAGTATGGCCCCTTAAGACCTGATTGAGGAAGAGGAAGAAAGAGAAGGACTCCCAGAGCTTGGTTTGAGCAACCAGGAGAATAAGAAGGCAACTCCTTGAAAGAAAAAACACATGAGAAGCAGATTTGGTGGAAAATAATGAATTCAAGTATAGACAAGGTGAATATGAGGTGACTATTAATTCATCTAAGCATCGATTTTCAGCAGGCAGCTATATAGACAGACCTGTAGCTCAAAAGAATAATCCGGCTAGTGAAATCACATCTGTAAATCATTAGCATGAATGATTTCTGAAGCTATGAAAGTGAATAAAATCTCCCAAGGAAATTGTTAAAGGAAAAAGGAAAAGTGAGAATAATGACCCCTAATCAAAATGCCTGTTCTCTTCGAACTGGCAAGCCTCCAAGGAAAAGAAGTTCAAAACAAAAGGAATAGCAATCTCTTCTAATCAGATTTTAGTAACACAACTTAAAGTTTCATCATATTTGTCAAAAGTGATTTTAATCAAACTAGAATTGAGTTGCTTGAAAAACAAAGGTAATGTATAAATATGAAATATTATCAAGGAAGGTCCTTAAGACATTAACATCTCATGTGAAAAATAAAAAATAACCAGCTGTGGAGCAGTAGTTTAATTTTAAACATATGAAAAATTTGGATATTTTAAAATGACTACAAATGAATCTTCAATTGAATCATTTGAATATTTACTTCAGTTTTACACTTAGTCTGTGTTTTAAAAAAAGACTGGTCAATTCAAAGATTAAAGATTAGAATTCCCTTATATGTTTTACATATATATTCACAATGATGGAATCAGTTTAGGTATGCAACAAGGAACATACTAACCCAATATAAAATAAGATCATTTAATTGAATAAGAAAACATCTACCAGACATCCCTGTTAGGTAAGAAGCAATACTATAGAAATTACTGCAAAGCATTTTAAAAGCACTCAGTGTGTATGCCAGGTACATGTCTAAGTGTTGCACAAATATTAACTCATTTTGTCCTCACAATAGCCTTATAAGATAGGTACTATTATAACTTCTACTTACAAGTGAAGAAGCGGAGGCAGAGAGACTAAGCATCTTATACAAGGTCACAGAACTAGTAAATAATAAAACTGGGATTTAAGCTTAGTCTCACTTGGGCAAGAAGAGAAAACATAAACAATGTTACTACTACCCAATAGAAAGTTGGAATGGTTACAGTAAGATCAGATAAGACAGAATATTTCAGAGCCAAGAATATTTCCAGGAATAAAGAAAGTCATTTAACAATCATAAAGGGGCCAATTATTTAACAGGATGTAATAATCCTATTTATGCAACTAAAAACAGAACTTTAAAACATATAAAGCCAAAGTTGGTAAGACTGAGTTACATATTTCAATACCCGTCTTTTAATAATTGGTAGGAAAAAAATGTAGAAAATAAACAAGGATTTAGTAGAGTTGAACAACTCTATCAAACAACTTGACCTACTGAACATTTAAAAAGTCAAAAATTAACAAAGTATACACTCTTTTCAAGAACACACAGAACATTTGTCAAAATAAAGCACAGTCTGGGCCATAAAATAAGTATGAGTACATTTCAAAGGACTCAAGGCATACGAAGTATATCTGGGACCACAACAGAATGAAATTAAAAATCATGAACAGAAAGATCTCTAGAAACTTCCACCCCAAATATTTAAAAAATAAATAACATACTTCTAAATTATTCATAAGTTAAAAAAGAAAAGTAAAATTAGAAAATGTTTCAACTGAGTGAAAATGAAAAGACAACATATTAGAATTTGAGAGATGCTACTTAAGCAGTACTTAGGGGAAATTAACAGCACATGAGGCCTGTATTAGAAAAGAAGGAACATCTCAAAGCAATAACCTCAGCTTCCACCTTATGAAACCAGAAGAAAGAAGAGGCAATTAAATCCACAGTGAGCAGCAGAAAACAAATAATAAAGATCAAAGATGAAATCAACAATTTAAAAAATCAATAAAACGGAAAACTGGTTCTTTGATAATATCAATAAAACAGGTAAGTATCTGTCAGACTGAAGAGGGAAAAAGAGAGAAGATACAAATTGCCAATATGGGGAATGAAAGAGGTAGCATCACTACAAATTATACAGATATTAAAAGAATGATAATGGAATACTATGATACTAACAAATTCAACAACTTACAAGGAACTAAACAAATTCTTTGAAAGATACAAATTACCAAAGCTCATTCAAGAAAAAAAAATAGATAACCTGAACAACCCTATATCTATTAAATTGAAACTGTACTTAAAAACTTTCCCCCCCAAATAGAACTGTATGCCCAGATGGCTTCACTGGTAAAATCTATAAAACATTAAAGGATAAATGATACCAACTCTACAGAAACTCTACTAAAATACTGGAGAGAAAGAAATACTGCCCAATTCATTTTAGCTGGCCAGCATCGCTCTAATACCAAACTCAAAGACAGACATCAGAAGAAAAGAAAACTACAGATATTAACCCTCATGAACACAAAAGCAAAAACTGTAAACAAAATTTTATCTAATCCAACTCATTAACATGTAAAAGATATAATTCATCATAACCAAATGGATTTATTCCAGATATAGAGTTGGTTTAACACTTCAAAATCAATCAAGGTAGTTCACCATTATTAACAAAGCAAGCAAAAACACATAATCAATCTCAATAGATGGAGAAAAAGTATTTAACAAAATTCAGCATCTATTCTTAAGGTAAACAAACAAACAAAAACTTTTAGCAACATTTATGAAGAGCTGACAGCTAACATAATACTTAATAGTGAATGCCTTCTCCACAAGACGAGAACAAAACAGGAATGTTTCTTCTCATCACTTCCACTCAAAATTATACTGAAGTTTCTAGCCAACACAACTAGTCAAGGAAAAGAAAAATAATCAGATAACCAGGGAGAAAGATAAGGAAAAATAAAGAAAAGTTATTAGTTCTGGGTAAAACAAAAGTATGAGAAAAGGGAAACAATGAGAAAATGGAGAAATTAAACCACAAAGGGTAACAAATTCTCATTATGTCCAAGTAATATATGTGAAGACATCAGTTTCATATTCTTAAGCTACCTAAGAACTGGGTGATAAATATCTCCTACTAAGAAGGAGATAAATTCAAATTATAAAGAACTTATTGAGCAATTTAAAACACTACTTTTGCTCATTTTGAGACAGCATTCTTTGGGAAATATTAACATATTCCCTAAAGTGGATGAATAAACTACAAAAATCTAGAACAGGTGTGAAACACAGCCTTAACATTTCTTCTTTAAATTCCATATTCTAATTTTTTTCATTAATGTTAAAACAAAAATAAAGGGTATTGTAGCCTCAAAGGCTAGAAAATTAAGAAACACAGAATCTCAAAGCCAGAAAGAGCCTCCTTCAGAAAGAAAGGAAAGATAGGCCAAAAGAAAAGCAGATCTACCAAGTTGATAAAATTATGTGAGGTAATTGAAAAAGGTGTGACACAACTCAAACAGTAACGAGCTGTGTGACTTTAAGAATAAACTCCAGTGTTTCTGGATCTGAATTGTCTACATCTGTAAAATAAGAAATTAGGCCAACTGATCTCTAAAGTCTCTTCATCTTTGAAAGTCTAAGATCCTCTGAGTCTAAAAGATCATAAGCTAAAGAACAAAAACAATGAGATAAATACCTCTTTAATTCAGAGGAAAGTTTTTTTAATTTTTTATCTGAAGACACTAGGGAAGGTTTCTGTCCATTGATTAACCTGAATGTTAATTTCGTTGTCTATTTTATTCACGATGAGCTTAAAGTATGAGAGAATTAGGAAGTTCAGCTTTCATCCTGTACCTTGTTTGAGCGTAATGACACTCGACCTCCACAACGGGCACAAAACTTGGTTTGGCAATATGAACAGTTATGGCCACATCCGTCAGCGAACTTGGTTTTGTGGCAGATGCCACAGGTTGGAGCATCACCCTTCTGTTCTTGCTGCTGCTGTGATTCTTCACCCATCTTCTTTACCTGCTCCTTATACATTTCAAACTGCTGATGAAGTTTTCTGCAGAGAACACAGACAAGAAAAATTTGGTTTCCTGATGGTCTCAAAAAATAATAATAATTACCACAATCTGTGGACACAATTTTATATCTGAAAAATCCATAAGGTGAGAGTAAAGAATAAAAATTTAACTTTCTGTTGATAGAATAACATCTTTAATGGCGCACAACACTGTAAAAGTGTAACTAGTTCTGCCTTCTGATATACATGCTAATTTGATAAACAGAGCTAAATAATCTACAAAAGCATAACTTCTCTTGATCGCATCAGAGAGCTGAGGGTTATAAGACAAGCAAATAATCTGAACTCCAAGACAAACCCTTCCAAAGAACAACAGGACACACTATTTCACCTTTGTCAGAGCATAGGAGAAAGAGGTGGCCACCAGACAGTTAAGAGGAAATTCACTGAAATTTTATCTAACAAATTTTAAGTCAAGTGTGGGCTAACATGACAATTTGGAATTGCTATGGGCCCAGGATCACAAGCAATCTTCCACATACTGGTTATTCATGAGGAACAATGAGAGTAGGATGTAAGAACATTTAAAAGAACCTTTGGGGTGCATATGTACAAATAGAACAGAAGTGACTGACTAGTGGCTGCTAGAACACAGGAATTCCCAGACTGTTTCTCCTAAAAAAGCCAAAGCTGTAAGCCACAGGAAAAGGGAGTAAACTCTGTCATCCCTAGGATGAAGGCAAAGATCCACTGCAGCTAGGGAAATGCATGGGAGGGGAAAAGCTCTCTTCTCATGAAGGAGGGACAGGAAATCATCTTCAGCCAAGATCTCACCCACAGATCAAAGGCTTTTATCATAGAGGGAGAGGTAGAAACTCCTGCCCTAAACCATTCAGAGATGATACCGAGCCAATTTCCTTACTTGGGAAAAAGGGAATAAGAACTCTGAGCAGGCCTCATCCCCGAGGCCCTCATAGACAGAGCCTGTCAAAGATGGAAGATGGAAAATACAGAACAGAACACCCCAACCCTATCACAAGCCAAGTATCAAGAAATAAGCACCAGTATTCTGCTGCTGGGGAATGGTCAAGAACACGGAGAGAGGCCCTCTCCCTCTGTGACATAAGTGGGTAAGAATAGCTGAAGGGGTAGCAAAACATAAAAAAACAAACAAACAAACTTACAGAACTCATGCATTCACCCCAAGCAAAAAGCAACAGGAGCTCACTGTTAGAGAAATCTGAAAACAGCAGTGCCCTAAAGACAATGACACAATCCAAACCTATCTGAGCCCCTGACTTGACTAGTGATTTCACACCCCAGTGACTCAGTGGTAAAACATTCGCCTGCAATGCAGAAGACTACATGTTTGATCCCTGGGTCAGGAAGATTCTCTGAAGGAAATGCCAACCCACTCCAGTATTCTTGCCTAGGATATCCCATAAACAGTGGAGTCTGGTGGGTCACAGTCCATAGAATTGCAAAGAGTCGGACACGACTTAGCAACTAACAACAACAACAAAGGGAAAGAATATATGATTATGTCAAAATATGCTGAGAAAGCGCCTGAATCAGCAAACTAGGAATAGACAGAAACTTCCTTAACTCAATAACAGTATCCACAAAAGGGTCTACAGCTAACATCATACTGTATTTGAAATACTGAGTGCTTTCCCCCTAAAATCAAGAACAAAGCAAGGTGTTGTCTCTCACTACTCCTAATCAACACCGGACTGGAAATCCCAGTTAATGCATTAAAGCAAGAAAAACAATAAAAATTAAACCATAGAGGTTGGAAAGGAATATTTTTTAACTGAGCAGATGGCATAATCGTCTATGTATAAAGTCCCGAAGAAACTATAAAAAAAAACTCCTATAATAGATGAGTCTAGCAAGGTCACAAGATACATGCTCAATATACAAAAAACAATTGCATTTTTGTATACTAGCAACAGACAGTTGGAAATAAAAATTTTTTTAAGTAGTATGCAGGGAGGGGGGATCGGGATGGGGAATACATGTAAATCCATGGCTGATTCACGTCAATGTATGGCAAAAACCACTACAATATTGTAAAGTAATTAGCCTCCAACTAATAAAAATAAATGGAAAAAAAATAATAAAAGTAGTATGCAATGGCATCAAAAATAAAAGAAAGAAAAGACTAAGGTATCAATCTAGCAAAATATGAGCAGACTTTCTTTGGTAAGAACTATAAAATATTAATAATAAGAATCAAAAGAGATCTAGTTAATAGGAGAAATATTCTATATTCATCATGAGAAGTTTCAGTACTGTTAAGATATCAATTCTCTATAAATTGATTCAATGTCATCTCAAATCACAATCTCAGCAAGAATTCTTTAAACAAATTGACAAGCTAAATTTAAAATTTGTATGGAAAAGCAAAACTCTCAAATTAGGCAACATATTTTGAAAAAAAAGAAAAAGACTGAAAAACTCACACTACCTAATTTCAAGACTTACTATAAAAACTACAGAAGTATGGACTTCCCTGGTAGCACAGATGGTAAAGAACTCACCTGCCAATGCAGGAGATGCAGGAGACATAGGTTCGATCCCTGGGTCAGGAAGATTCTCTGAAGGAAATGCCAACCCACTCCAGTATTCTTGCCTAGGATATCCCATAAACAGTGGAGTCTGGTGGGTCACAGTCCATAGAATTGCAAAGAGTCGGACACGACTTAGCAACTAACAACAACAACAAAGGGAAAGAATATATGATTATGTCAAAATNAAACTACAGAAGTAATCAAATATTGGTAAAGCATAAACATGCATACAATAAAACAGAGTCCTGAACAGTCCAATACTTAAACAGTCACTACTTTTTAAAAAAGATGCCTAGGTACTCAACAATAAAGAATAGTCCTTTAAAACAACTGAAAATCCATGTGTGGAAATCCATTGTGTAAAAAAATAAACCTCAACTCATACCTCATACCTATATGAAAATTAACTAAATGTATTACAAAACTGTAAACAATAGATTACAGAGCTAAATAAAATGACTAAAAGTATAAAACTCGTAGATGAAAACATTGAAGAAAAGCACGGCCTTGGGTTCAACAAAGACTCCCAGGCTAGACAAGGTATAGGTTCTAGACCTTCAGCAGAATTTAAAAAGCATGAACCAGAAACCTGCCAAAGACAATATATAAATGAATGAATATAGCTATGCTCCAATAAAATATTTATGGATGCTGAATCTTGAATTTTATGTCATTTTTATAATCTCAAAATATTATTATTAAAAAACCATTTTTTTCAACATTTTTTACATGTAAAAGCCATTCACTGGTTATACAGAAACAAGCAGTGGGCCAGATGTGGCCCGCAGATCACAGATTGTCCAATTTTATATGATATGATTTAATTTATGTAACATTCTGAAAAAGACAAAATTATAAGGACAGAAATCAGATCAGTGGTTGCTAGGGAGTGGAATAGAGCACGGGAACTGACTACAAATGGGCGCAAGGAACGTTTGGTGGTGAGGAAAATAGCCTATGTCTTGATTATGGTAGTAGATATTACTGTGTATGTTTTCTAGAATTCACTGAAGTGTATGCCTCAAAGGAATGAATTTTACTGGTAATAAACATAACCTCAAATAAGTTTGACTTTTTAAAAGCAGTTAGTTTCAAAGTGCTAACCTATAATCAATGTGTGTGCTCAGTAGCTCAGTCATGTCCGACTCTTTGCAACCCCATGGACTGTAGCCTGCCAGGCTTCTCTGTCAATGGAATTTTCCAGGCAAGAATACAGTAGCAGGTTGCCATTTCCTACTCCAGGGGATCTTCCTGACCTAGGGATTGGACCCACATCTCTTGCACGTCTTGCAGTGGCAGGTGGATTCTTTACCACTGCACAACATGGGAAGCCCCCAACCTAAACTCAGGAGGTAAATTAAAAATACAGCCATGTAAGTCCTTTTATCTCTGCAACCACAAAAGCGTATTTCCATTTTCATGCCTAATATTAATAAACTCAAATAGCTATGCCACTTTTTTTTTTCCAATAACTTTAGGTAACATACTATTTTTCCCTGATGGTCTTTCACCAGGTTTAAGTGAATCTCTAGTAACACAAAATAAGTATCACTACAAGAGACCTAAGTTCATAAAACATGTACAAGAACAAACATGATTTTAAGTGGACCATGAATGAGCTCTGCATCAGAGCTTCTCCCACCATTTGGAAGAATCATCTTTCTATGTGTGAGGCGACTATACATGTCTACTGTATAGCTGTTTATACACTTATGATCTCTGACATGATCTTTCAATATTTGGCTGAACCTCTCTGGGAGAAAGAGAAAGAAGAAGAAAATTAGAGCAAATGCTTTGTTTTAGTTCTAGAGGCACTGGAGTACTAGGCAAGTTACCAAGTCAAGTTTCACTGGAACAAAAAGTAGAAACCTAGTGAAGCAAACTGTGCTACATAGGGCCTCGAGGGGAATAGAAATCCAAGTTTTCACACACAGGGAGAAGGCCAGTAACATAAGTAGAGAAATCAGGAATTATGTATCCCAAAGTGCTAGATTAGATCTATTGAAACAGCTCTTACAATAAGAACTATAAGAACTGAACTCAGTCCCTGAGACTGTAGCATTACTGGGGCTGTGGGATGGGATCAAATCTTTCCTGTTGTAGGGAGCAGAGAGAGAGAGAAGTCAAAAGTTCAGATAGGACTAATCTACAATAGTTTGAGGAGGTAAGAGAGGACTTTTAGAGAGGTTTTTTTTTTTTTTTTGGTAGTCATACTTCCAGTCCTATAAAATGAGAAACTACCATATGTAGAAGCGATGGTGTGCAAGCAGATTCAAGGGCTCAATCATGTTCCTTGCCAAAGGGATCATTTTTCCCCTTCCCATTTACACATAGGCCAAATTCTATCTCTGCTTCCTCACCCCAGTCACTCTTCAACCAACCTAATCTGGTTTCCAGTCTACTTCTTAAACCTCACAAAGTTTACCAATGGCCTTCCTGTACCTAAAACTAATGGACAAATTTTTT